ATTAAAAAAAAAAAAATTCAGAGAAAAAAATACTAAAACTGTTATCAAAATTTAAAGAAAAAACTGTGTATTTGATGACAACAGTAAGTTATATAGCCCCAGCTAGGTACGATTTTATAGTGTGTTCATTCTACTCACTGAGGTTTATGCCTAAAGTCAGACATGGGTTCTTGTGTATGTATATATCAGCTGTGCTTGCTATTGCAAATATTTAGACAAATTAAGTTCATTAGCAAATCAATTAAATGGGGGGAAAGGCATAGAAAGCAATCATGGATACCAGAGACAATGGGAGGAGGGTTGGACAGAGCAGAGGGTTGGGGATAGGGAATCAAGGATGGCAAAAAAGAAAAACCATTACATTAACTGCTGGTCCCTAAACAGACTATTTCTATAAATTGAGGATTTACGTCATGATAATAACTGAGCTAGTAGTTTTCTCAGTGCCATTGTGATATCTTGGTTCCTCAGTGTATATATGATGGGATTCAAAGTTGGGATGAAAACAGTATAAATTAAAATAAAATAAAATAAAAAAGAAAAAAGAAATGTCAACCTTTCACAAAAAAAAAAAAAATTATAATTTATGTGTACTATTTTTCCCTACTATATCTCTTAATCAGAGGACTCAGTTAATCCCCAGGGTTAGATTTTCTTGCAAACATTGTAATAATTTGTTTTCCTAATGTTCAACTTTATTTCTGAGTTTTCCTTTGACATCAAGGAAGCCTTTTCTAAAACATTATACCTGTCAATAAACCACAGAATGTAATTTGTGAAACATGGGTTATCAAATACAAATGAGTCTACAAAATAATTCTATTTCCTCTTCCTGTTTTTGAAAAAGAGGTTTTACTAAGAAACAACCTACTATGCCAATAGAAAACATATCAACCATCAACTTAATTATGGGAACCAAAAATTGTGAACAGGCCAACACAGATAACATTTACTAATTGCTGATTGTTCTTAACCATTAGTCCAATTGTTTATCTATTATATCCTGGCTATCTTTTGCCAACCACATATCTACAAAATTCCCCAATAATCCAGTTTTATATATCCAAAGTTAATCATTTCTACTTTCACAATTGATTATATTCTAAAATTTGAAACAGCATTACTACCAATAGGTATAAAAGAAATCCTCCCAATGTCGGTTTTTTTTTTTTTTTTTTTTTTTTTGTGTGTTTTTTTTTCAGAGCCTTTTGGAAAGATTTTCGCTATAGGGCACGTGCGCTCACCAGACAGAGAGAGACATAGAGACAGAAAGCGAGAAATCACCCCCCAGGAGGGATGGTCATGCCACAATCCCTTCTCCTCCATTCTCCTCTCGGGATCTTGGGCACGCACGCACACGCCCCCAGCATGAGTTTAAGCCACCGGGTCTGGGACACAAACCACGGTCGACTACATGGGAGTCCAGCGACATAGCCATTACGCTAACTGCTGGTTCCCCCTCCCAATGTCTTTAAAATATTAGACTATCAGGAAAGCTATCTGCTGGGAAAGAAAGTGCATTTTTCTCATTTTAAAATTTTAGAAAATTAAGATAGATTCATCTCCATAAGATGTAAAAGTAAATTACTTACTGTTGAGTGATGTATAACACATTTACCAGGGTATCATCATTCATTAATTTTATCTTCTTTATAGTTAAATTATGAAGAGTAAGAAATTGAGGAAAGTCTCTGACACACTGAACATTTTTTAACAAGCTGGTCTTCTGTTTCTGAAGTTGCCAAAGTATATCGAATGCACATCCCACGTGCTTTTCTGAAACTGTGGTTTTATTTCTTTCAATAAGATCAAGTATTTGTTCTTCATCTGTACACTTATTCATCTGGTTAATCAATGGCTCACAATTGAATGGTCGAAATTGAAACAGTCTCCAAGAGAATGGACCAATAGTTCTTAAACGAAGCATATTTGTAACCAATGAGTCTGGAAAAAAATTTACAAATTTTCTTAAAGAAAATCACATGCATCTAGTAATCAGGTGCAGTATGCTGGCATGAAAATAGTTTTTTTTTTTTTTCTTGTTGTATTTTGTTTCCATTGGTTCTAACTCTAAATCCCTCCCAACAGGTGGTTTCTGGAAAAAAATTGGTTTGATATATGTTTATCCTTACATTAACATTATCAAATTAATTCCAAAATCAAAGTTAAAATAGGTTTCTTCTGCATTAACCAGAGACTTTGTTCTTAAAATGAACCAGATAACAGGACTTGATCCAAAACTAAATGTCCAGAAAAAAACAAGCTTATTTCTTCAGCCCAGCTAAAAAATGTTTAAGACTAGGGCCAGCAGATGGCGTAGCAGTTACCTCGTTGTACTCCCACATGGTCAGACATTGTTTAAGTGTCAAACTGGTGGCTTGAAAATCATGCTGGGCATGTGTGCCTGTGTGCCTTCATGTCCAAGATCACAACAGGAGAGTGGAGGAGAGGGTATTGCAGCGTAGCCACCTCCGGTGGTGGTGGTGGTGGGGGGGGAGGGTCATGTCTCACTTTCCCTCTCTTTGTGTCTGTCTCACTCTCTCTGGCTAGTGCACCAGCCCTAAAGCAAAAACCTCTTAAAAAATAAAAAAAATTTAAGACTGACATTTACATAGTTTTCAAATCTGACCATGATAGCTAAATGAACAAAAACAGAAATCAAACCAAAAAAACCCCACACTCAGAAATGTCTTAAATAAAAGAATAAAGTTGTTTGAAATAAATAAACATTATCACCTTTAAGGTTTCTAAAAAGGACTGGCCATTACTCAGAGCCATTACAATTTTTTTTTTTTCCCCACAAGACTGGTCTCTGGTATATTTGCTTTCAGGATAAGTTCTTGCTCTTTTCTCTTGAGTCTCAAAAAATTCAAATAATTTCATCAATGACTTTGAGTTTTAACCAATAAGCGAGATGATTTAAAGCAACAATCAAGAAATATTAAGAAATAAAAAAATTTTTTTCAAGATACACGCTAGAAGAACCAAAGAAGTGATACAAAAACCAAAGACAATTTTTAAAAAGAATAATTAAATATATATCTATATTTACCTATACTATAAATGCTTACATTTATCATCGAAAAGCAATGGTTAGAAAAGCTGTAACACTTCTGCAACAGATTAACAATTTACAGAGAATTTAGTGAAAAAATAAGAATAACAATAAACGATCTCAGCTAACCTTCTACACAGTTGTTACAATTTCCATTTCACAGATACAGAAAACCAGGTCCAAAAAGGTTTTAGAAAACTGCTCTAAAATTTTCCTTATAAGCCAAATGAGGTATAGCGATTGAATGTTTAAAGTAATAATAATAATAAAGTGGAATTTTTTTTAAAAGACAAAAAAATAAAACTGCTCTAGTATCAATAAAGCTAGGACTACAACCCAGTTCTTTTCATCTGAACAGACTCATTGAATCAACTCAACAAGTCAACACGTGGTTACTGTGTAAGTATCCTCAGATCCCTCTCTATGCCTATGCCAAACTGTTCACAAGAAAACAAACAAAAAAAAAAAAAAAAAAGATGCGACAACACTGGCTATTTTGTGATAATCAGTAGACAGCATTCTGACCCAAAGTAATCCGAATCATACACCTACACAAAAAGTCCTACCCACGCCAAGCTATCCTCAAGACATTGTGAATCCACAAGTAAAGCTAAGGCAGTTCAATGATTACAGTACGAAGGAGCCGTGTCCCCCACTTCTGCCCTCATCAGAGTGACCTTGGAGAAGGATGTCTGTGGACGACAACCGAAGACAGGAACCAGTTGTGGAAAAATACGGTGCAGGGTAAACATTGATCCAGCTTGCAAGGGGCAGGTACCCTGTGCGCCGGGCACACAGTGGAGCTGAACAAGTGAGTGGACGCCGTTTGCACCGTCCAGGAGAGGAGTGGGCTCAGCCCTGCCCCGGTCCTCCGTGCTTTAGAAACCCCAAAACGGAGTCCTCCGTTTTTCAGCTGAACCCTGTGTTTGTTCCCCGACCCGAAAACGTGCTGGGTGGAAAAGCGGCCGCCACTTCCGGGCCCTGCATTGCCAGAATCGCTCAGCAACTTTTCTGGAGGATCCGGGGACGGCTAGTTAACGACGGCTCAGAAGTCAATGGTATTCCTGTTCTCCAACAAGGGATGCAACAGGCTCGGCTGTCTCGCTCACCCCTCATACCCCAAGCTGTTTTATGCTTTTCTGGAGAGACATCACCTCCCCTGACACAATCTGTCCCAAGCCCAAGAAAAAACGCCGGGGGAAGGCAATGTGCGCAGCGAACCACGCACTACATATCCCAGGGGCCACGCGGCGCAGAGCGCTGACGCATGGTCTGGGGATTCTGGGCATGGTAGTTCTGGTTACGGAGGCTCTGGGCCAGTGCGGGCGGGCGTCCTGAACTGTCCGAGAAGATCCCTGTCTCTTAGGTCAGTGTTTCTCCACTAAGGTTGTTGCCCCGTCCTGGGAGGACTGATATATACATATGCATCTTTTAAGTTTTACAATAGGTCGTGTGCGCTTGGAGAGACTTGGAGAAAAAGCACCCCAACGGGGATGGCCACGCTGCAATCCCTGCTCCATGTTTCCCCCTTTCAGGATTTTAGGCATGCCTGCACAGGCGCCTGGCTCTGTCCAAGCTACCGGGTTACGGGCTCCAACTACGTAGTTGGCCATGTGAGATCCATCTACCTTAACCATGATGCCACTGGCTGGCCAAATATATATATATATATGTG